ATCTTTTAAAATAAATAAATAAATAAATAAATAAATAAATAAATAAAATAAAAATAAAATCTTTAAAAAAATAAATAAAAATTTAAAAATGGCCCAGACTAAATATGTTGATACATATCTATAGTTCTGTGAGTGGCAGGTCAGAGAGAAAAGACTAAATGACCACCAAATGACTCTCAAAACAAGAAGCCATTGGTGGATAAGCCATCACACATTTCGAATAAAATCCAACCTCTGTATATCATTAAAAGTACAAAGGGATAGTTGAAAGAAAATATTCTGAAATAGTTTTGTTCTGCACCTTTAAGAATACATTTTACAGCCCACAAATAACGTTATGTACAAACTCACCTGGAAGAGACACTAGAAGCTTCTTCCCTGATGATCACTGGCTGAACTTCTTTTAAATTTAACTTATTCTGGTACATCTTCTCTAACTTTGCCATAGTGTCCAAGTGGGCAGCTTTCAGCTCTTCTAGCTTCCTAAAATACTCTTCATTAGAGTGGTATATATCAGAAAAGTCCACAAAGTCCTCATTGCTTATATGTGTTTGTTCATCCACCTCAGAAATGTTGGTGTTAAAATCAGCCTGGCAAGAGGAAAAAAAACCTGTCATATGGTGTTTAAAACTGAAAGACAAATTAAATTGACACCGATTCCCAATGCTGCTTCTGAAAGTGTACACTTAATTTGGTTATATGTTACTTGTAGGCTACATACACATAATGGGTTATAAGTTACTTGTGAACTATGTACAACGTCAAGAGCCCCAACCAAGAGCCCAGGTGGCCAGGCCATAGCCAACAGGAACGTTGAAGGATGTGAGCAGAGGAGTGACATAGTAATGCTCAGAAGGAGTCTTCTCGTAGCAAGTGGGAGAGAGTGAAGGAAGGTAAGTTTGGCAGTAGTTAATGGGCTATTGCAAAGGTCTGAGTTAGAGATATTAAAGGCAAAATAAAGGGAGCAGTGCCAGGGACAAAAGCAAGGAGGCTGCCTTGGGAGATTTAGGAGGCTGAAGTATCAGCTTGATAATGGCCTGGGTTGTGGGCAAGAAAGTAGAAAGATTTGTTTGGAGTGCTGTCTGTCTAGGTAGATGGTGGTGCTGCCATGCATCAATATAGGGAAAACAGTGGAAAAGAGTGTTTTAGGGAAAGGAAACTAATCTCTCTCTTAGGAACACTGAGTTTGAAGGGATAGTAAGGCAGCTAGATGTCCAGGAAATGGGGAGGGGGAGAGGGGAATGTATGTGGAGAGCTGGTAATAAGGCTGGGCTGGAGGGGGAGATATGGCAGGTATCAGTGCACAGAGAAGTGACAGGTACAGCTTTGGACGTGGATAAGGTTGACTAGGGAGAATGGAGCAATGATAGATGAAAACCTGAGGATGGGGTGCCTGGGTGGCTCAGATGGTTAGGTGTCTGCCTTCGGCTCAGGTCACGATCCCGGAATCCTGGGATCGAGTCCTACATCAGGCTCCCTTCTTAGCAGGGAGCCTGCTTCTCCCTCTCCTGCTCACCCTGCTTGTGCTCTCTCTCTC